GGGGCGGCAGCGGCGGGCGGGAGGCGCCGGGCGGGCGGCGAGGCGCCGGGCAGGGCCGCGGCCGCGGAAAGTCCCTGGAGCGGCGCCAGGGGGGGCGGCGCCCGCGGAAAGCACCGGCCGCCCAAAAGCCCCGGTCGGTTTCGAAACGCGGGCGGGCGGGTGGGGGCGCGCGCTGCGCCCGGCGCTGCCGGGGATTTTCCGAGTTTCATCCTTCCTAATTTTTCTTTCCTTCCTTCCCGCAGTTTCCTGCACCTGGCGATTATTCACGAGGAGAAGGGCCTGAGCCTGGAGGTGATCCGGCAGATGGCCGGCAACCAGGCCTTCCTCGACTTCCAGAACAACCTGAGCCAGGTACGGCCCGCTTCCCAGCACGCCTTCCCGGTGGGACTYAATGGCTGGAGCGTTGCTTCCGCCCAGCTGCAGCCTGCGTTTTTCCATGTGATGCAGCGAGTTGTACCCTGCTTTGCCATCACGTTAATGATGCCCATTGTGTGGTGCCTGGTATCTGCAGAGCACTGGGATCCCTGCTTCCATATGGAAAAGCAACTGTGCAATATGGTGGGAAGCAGGAAAACAAACCTGTTGGGTGGAAAGGTTGTTTTTAACTGGGCAGACACCCCCCCGCTGATTGAGGGCCTGTTTGTGCAGGGGCTGCTGCCGTTTGCAGCGTCACTTACCATGCTGTGGTTTCCTTGTGCCTGCAGACCCCGCTTCACCTGGCCGTTATCACCGATCAGCCTGAAATCGCCGAGAACCTCCTCAAGGCCGGATGTGACCCAGAAATCAGAGACTTCCGCGGGAACACGCCGCTGCACATCGCCTGCGAGCAGGGCTCCCTGCGCAGCGTCAGCGTCCTCACGCAGCACTGCCAGCAGCACCACCTGCCCTCCGTCCTGCAGGCCGCCAACTACAACGGTACAACAGCCAGCCCCGGCTGCCCTCGCGACAGGGCTCCCCTCCTGGAGATTGCACAGACCCCTGGAAAGCCACAGAGGGCTGCGGAAGCCAAAGGACGTGGCAGTGCCCAGTTTTCTTAACTTCCCCAATTGGCTTACAGGCCTCCTGACTGATGATCACTGGCTGCCACAGCTTTAAACTCTGCATTTTTAATGTCCGCTTTTGCAGAATTTAATGAACTCTGAATATCTTATTTCAAGTGTTTCCAATTTTTATCAAAATAATATGGAGGCGAACACTGGAATAAAGATAAAAAATCTTTCCAGAACTTTTTCCTGCTGCCCRAACATATTGGAAGTTGGAAGGTTATCTTGGAAAACATTCCTTTGTTTTGGATAAATTATTCTCTCTTCCTGACTTTAAGCGAAACCTGAGGCACTAATTAGGACTATTCACATTTTACCTTCATTTGTATTTTACAGGACACACATGTCTCCATTTGGCATCTATTCAAGGGTATCTGGCTGTTGTTGAGTACTTGCTGTCCTTAGGAGCAGATGTGAATGCTCAGGTATGTAATTCCTTTATGGAGTTAACTGAACACGGTTGCATATTCATAAGAATCTGTAGTTCTGGCACTGACCGCCCTGGCTCTCCTAACATGCAACATCCTGGGTTGTTTTCCTGCAGGAGCCATGCAATGGCAGAACTGCGCTGCACTTGGCTGTAGACCTGCAGAATCCGGACCTGGTGTCGCTTCTGGTGAAACATGGAGCAGATGTGAACAAAGTGACCTACCARGGCTATTCCCCGTATCAGCTCACGTGGGGAAGGGACAACACCAGCATACAGGAACAGCTGAAGCATTTGACCGCGGCTGACCTGCARATGCTGCCAGAAAGTGAGGACGAGGAGAGCAGTGAATCGGAATCAGAATTCACAGAGGATGAAGTAAGTAGCTATTTGCACCCTTTCATAGGAAGGGCCAAATCCTGCCCTTTTATATGCTTAAATTGTATTTTTAGCGGTGCCCTGATTGCATATGAGTGACCTGTTACCTATATAATTATCCCCATAAAGTAAGGTAATACTGTCAAGATCTAGAGGTATGGCAGTTGGGCCAACATAAAATAAATCAGTTTCACAGAGCACAATTCTCTGAACATCATCCCGCTGCTGATACCTACATGATCTTGTGACATACAGTTTTAATTTGTTCCTTTCTCCTCCCCACCATTTACTTCTCTAACATTTTCAGTGCTGTAAATTGAGAATGAGAGCAAATGTAAACCATTGCTTTGCACAAATTTTGCACACTAATGAAGTCGGGGCAAGGAGAATTTGGCTATTTTTCCAAAGTACATACAATACTTGCAGTAAGAGTTTTGCAATAACAGCATTTTTTTTTTCTTCCAGCTTATGTATGATGACTGCCGTATTGGGGGACGACAGCTGGCGTTTTAAAGCAGAGGTTTCCTGTGAAAGGAAGTGACTGTGTACATATGTACAGGAAAAGGACTGGCATTTTTCTTTAAAAAAAAGAAAATCAAAATGTGGAAGAAAAAAGTACTAAAATACTATACTGCCCAACAAGAAGCACCTAATTGTAACAGCAAAGTTCCACGTTCTGGCCTGTGATTAGATAACAGGAGTGGAATATGCAACGTCATGTGATTATTTACACCACTTGATAAGGAATCCCATATCCACACTTACATGAAGACAGTGGACTACAGATCCAGCATAGTATTTACAGGAATGCATTTCAGATCTATCCATAGATGTTAATTACGATGAGGAATACTTGTTCACTTACGACAAGATCATATAAAAGTCCCATCTTCTTGGAAATTGTTTCTTAGATTTGTGTTGGGCTGGTGATACTTTGACCTCAGCTGCTCTTTGTGGGGTACAGCAGACAGGATCAACCAAAGGTATAACCTCCTGGCTGTTAGGGGAGAGGTAGCAATCACATTAACTATYGGCATTGGAAACTATATGTTCCACACAATGTGTGTCATAATTGCTACACTTACTAGCAATTGTATAGCTTGTAAATAYTGTATATTTTGTTTATAATATTTTCATACATGTGAGATGTATTTATTAAAAAAAAGTCAAATTACTGTGTCGAGTCTGTGATCTGGTTCACTGTCCCTGTCCTTGTCCTGATATACATGGGATCCACGTGGAGCTGTGGCCTTAGGAGTTTGGGGGTTCTCTTTGGCAGGAGTGAGGTGTCGGTACAGCATTGAGCTCTCAGTCCTTCCCCCACAGCTAATTTTAGAAATGTAGTTTCCTGCACCCTTTGTCATGGGGGGGCGGGGACGGGATTCCCCCTCTGTCACACAAGTGTCAGACGGCTCGGCCTATAGAAAGATCTGTGACACCATTTGGTAGCAACCTGCTGACCTCCTGCTACCCTGTGTTCCAGCTCTGGCCCCCTGTGCTGGTGCAGCCAAGCTTCATGAAGCTGTTTGGTGCTACTACATGGTGTGGGAAGCCCACGGGAGCTGCTTGGTGCTGCTACAGCGTCTAAGGAAGCCCATAGGAGCTGCTTGGTGCTGCTACAGGGTCTAGGAAGCCCACCATGGTGGGGTTTGCATGGGGCAGAGGGAGGTTTGCAGAGCAGCCCTGTGCCTGGGTTTCCTCATGTTTTATCAGAGCCCTGCTGCAACCCGGACTTGGGCACCTTCGGATTTTCCAAAGGGGATTTCCACAGGAAGATGGGAACGCCAGACGTGGAACAAGCTGTACTTTCTTCCACCCTTGAAAATCAGGCATTGGGCCTCACCTCTCCTCGTGSCTGCAAAAGCTGCAGCACTCACAGCACTCACGGTCTAGTCTGTAGTGGACTGTGTCGCCTTAACCCCTTTTAATTATTTCTGAGTGTTTACCCAGGCTTTAGTTCAAGCAGAATTATTTCACTCAAATTTCCATGTGTATCTCATCTCCTTTCRGCATTGTGTCGCACAGCAGGACTAATCTCAGCTGCAACTGCTGGATCGCTGYGCGACCGCATGAAGAACCAACTGAGCGAAGCGAGACGGTGCCCCTTTCCCAGCCCGGGTTTCGTGCCCTCTTCCTCCTGCCCGCAACCCCCTGGATCGGGATGGGGTGGAGCAGAGCTGCTGACGCAGACTGGAGCCCTGCCAGCAAAGTATCTACCAGCAAAGCCCTGCGCTGCTGGCCCCTGGCCACCCTCTCAGGAAGGCAGCAGCTTCATGGGGACATCCAGTCCTTTCCTTTGAGAAAAGTCCTCGCTCTTTCGTCTCTTCCTGAGGGATGCCTGAGACATGAGCTGCTTGAAGTAAGGCTCTTACAGAGGGCTGTGTGCTATGAGGAAGAGCACCTGAGCAGGCAGGGCTCTTGCTAATTTGCATTGGAGCCAAAGGCTGTTGTGGAAGTGATTATATAGAAATTGTCATCCTGAGTCATTTTTATTTCCCTTCCACTCTCATTTCATTAGCATAGGCCAGGTGTATGCACCAAAACTTCCTTAACAGTGATAGGGCCATGCCTAATTTCAAGCCTGCAAAGTTTTCCATCACTGGGGCTGGGTGAGAATTGCACAAGCCRTGGGTGTCCTCCTGCCCCTCCAGCTCTGAGCTGCTACAGGGGGTCCCACCAGCAAAGAATCCCAAGAAACATGCAGCCGTCTTCGATGAAATGCCACATTGTGGTGGCTGAAAATGGGAAAGGCAGTCTGCTTCTCTCTCCTTGCTGCACCTCCATTTCCCACTTACAGAAAACACAGGCTCAAGATGATGTCAAGGCTCTGTAGAGGCTTTTRCTGTCCACAACTATCAGTGTCCTGGAAATGCTCAGGTACATGGCTGGAAATAATATGTAAATACTTAAATAGATACCATCTGAATGCAAATATTCTATATCCTAAGGCCAGAGGAGGGGAGGAAAGAAGGAAAGTGCACAGTTATCAGTAGTACTGGACTAGTCAAGTCATTTTGGAGGTAATGGTACATTCTCTGTTGCGTATTGCAACATTTGGACAAATAATACCTTACAAAGGAGCTATTATTWTCATGTAAGAATTCTATAATGACTTAATGAATAAAGCAAATGCTTTACAACATAAGGAAGTTTTGCAGCTAAAGAAATCATTGCCAAGATACTGCGTGCTGGTTGTACTCCTAGTTGCCTCCATCAGTCATGCAAACGCAGTGAAGTAGTATATGCTACACAAAGCAGCATGCATGGAGGAACCACAGTTAAAAAAAGTAGGACAGAGTTCCGTGTGACAGAGACAGAGCAGGCAGGTCAGAGAATGTGTGTTCCTTAGAAAAATAAGTGTGCGCATATTGTGCATTGGTGGCCACTTCACAGTGTACACTGATAACATGGGGCTGTTGAGTGCAGTGCTTTGCCTTTTTACTGAGGATATAATTTGAGCACGTTGGAAAAGAAGATCAAAGGCAGTCATAGGTGTCTCTCTCACACGCATGCACGCGTACATACGCACACACAGGCACAAGCAAGGTGAATTTTGAGCCTTTAACCACTACACGTTATTGTCTCTGTTTTTTCTACACCGAGGCGTTTGGAAATCTCTTCTGACACTGTTTTGCATGATAACCTTCTGCCATCTTGGAATTTTCTTGGCACTACGGCACATATGTCTCATGGTCTCCTTCACAGAATCTGCTTCTCATCTACCCATCCTGCCAGCATCACACTTTCCTTTCTCAGCTGCCTTTAACAGAGCAGGACAGGCTGTTCTCGCCCGCCCTCTCCTTCCCCTCAGGCCCGGCCTAGAGCGCAGCACACACGGGCCGCAGCGCTGGCAGCACTCGCTCCACTCTCCCAACTTCCGTGGCGTTCGGAACATCTGTGGTGCACCCATTTCTGGAGGCCGAGGTGCCATCTGTTTGTGTAAGGGCTCTGCGTGGAGCCTGCTGGTGCACAGCCGGAGAGCGGCGCCTCACGTCTCCGTACGCTCCTGGCGTGGAGGGGACTGCCGCGGCGGGAGGAAGGGAGCGCCATCTCTTTGTTTTCAGCTGGCTGCAGGAGATCTTCCCTTGAAATCCCCTGAATTTCAGGCTGATTCTCATAACACCTTCTGCCTCATGTTTGTCCTGTGGTATCAAAACATAACTCTTTATCCGCCCCCCTGGAAGGCAAATGACTTCTGCTGTCCTCGCACCATTGACAGTGCCTTCCAGGTGGCCGTGGGGGCTTCCCCAAGGACTCCCGTGCTCCCTTTGAGGCAGGGCAGGGACATAGCACTACATCTCTTTCCCTTCGGATGAAATACCGCTTATTTTCTTGTCACATCTGCTGTTACCACCAGTCAGTCAGCCTCTCTCCATTAACCTCCTTCCTCTGCTCAGCTCTGTGGCTGTTTTTTAACTCAACCTCCTGCCCCGCAGCAGCAGCACTCTCCTTATCCCGGGCTTCTCTGCTCTCGGGTCAAGCTCTCAGTGCCTCCCTCAGGTCCCTCCTTCTCTCCCACTATATCGGCCTCACTCATTTGCCATCCACTTCCATGACATTGCACTGAGTGCAATGAGGCTGCACTTCTGTCTCGAGCCTCTCCCACATGGCCCATTCTTGTACAGCTCTTTCATAATCCCTCCAGGATACTCCTAGACTTCTCCTATTTCCTCCTACACCCTCCTTCTCACCCTTGGACCCAGTTCTCTGCAGGACTCCCTGTCACCCCCAGTCACAACCCACAGTTGTCTTCACTTCCTTCTTTCCTTTCTTTAGGAAAAGCCCTGGACTTCTCCAGACCTTTCCGTGTGTGCCAGGCGTGCCTGCACACGGCAGTCCTAGCAGGGGCAGCACTGACTGGGAGCACAAACTGAGGCTGGGCCTCTCTSCCCAGCCAAAAGGGAATCCTTCCCTTTAACTCTGCAGCTTTTCAAAGTGCCAAGCAGGGGAGGAAGGCAGGTGAGCRGGAGGCCAGACCATCCCATGGACTCCATCACCCCTGGCCTTGGCTGCCACAAGCTACAGCTTTTCTACCCTCCCCTGGCGGGTGTCCCTCAGCCGCGACCTGCTATGTGGCACTGGCCTCCTCGTGTGCAGCGCTGCCTGCCTGAAGCACGTGCCTCGTGCAGGCCCTCTCTTCATGTGGTGGGATGAGAGGTGCCATGGACAACCCTGGCAGCTCCCTGCTCATCCAACCAGGACCTGAGACTCCTCCCCGCAGGACAGTCCCGGATCGAGGACCCTGACTGATGCCCTCTTCATCATCATCCTTCAGCCCTTTGATCCTAATTGTTATAAAATAACCTAAATCCTGATCCCTACCAGTTATTTGGCATTTTGCACATGAAATGTAGACAGATCGGGGCCAATGGGCAGCACTTACCAACCATTTGCCCTCGGTGCAGCCTGTGTACATGTCTACTGCCCGTCCCAGCAGGACTCTCGGTGCACCAAAAGGCAGCGGGCACTGCTAGGACCCTTATTCTATAGAAGAGAGCYGCACTGCTGCTCTGTTTGCCCCACAGCTTTGGTTCAGCTCTAGCTAAGTGAGCTGGCTGGGTGAGGGAGAAAAAAAAAAGGTGCGAACAGCAATGAATTCTCGAGAAAAATGTTGTGATATGTGAGAAGCAAGACAAGTGTCACCTGTGACATACTCTGTTACTTAAAAATCTGTCCTAGTGACAGACTCTAGAAATGTCAAGCAGCAGCACAGATCCCAGCCAGTTAGAAACAGCACAGCCCGTTTTTTTGCAGAAGCTCGGATTTGGATATAATTAAATGCCTGGTTGTTCCTAGATGGAAGAAACGCAGAATAAAGAGCAGAGGAGGATGCTCCCCATGGAAACTCTGCTCCAGTTTCAAGGGGGTGGAGGAAGGGCTTTCCAAGCATTTCTGTGCTCCCAGTGGAGGGGCTGTGCCGCAGAGCAGGAGCTGGATCCTGGAAGGGCGCAGAGGCAGGAAAGTCCCGGCTCCTCCCTCCAGCGCCAAGTGCGAGCCCAGCCAGCCCCGCACGCTGCAACTCGCCCGCGAGAAACCCTCGCCAGCAAAGCCCGCAGCAGCGCTGCGACCCCCTCCC